AAGCATGATTTCCTTAGTTTGTGAACACGGATTTTGTCTTAAAGAAAGCAAGATTTCCTTAGTTTGTTAACGTGGCCTTTTTTCTTAAAGAAAGCATGATTTCCTTGGTTTGTTAACGTGGTTTTTGTCTTAAAGAAAGTATGATTTCCTTAGTTTGTTAACGTGGCCATTTTTCTTAAAGAAAGCATGATTTCCTTAGTTTGTTAACGTGGTTTTTTTCTTAAAGAAAGCATGATTTCCTTGGTTTGTTAACGTGGTTTTTGTCTTACAGAAAGCATGATTACCTTAGTTTGTTAACGTGGTTTTTGTCTTACAGAAAGCATGATTACCTTAGTTTGTTAACGTGGTTTTTGTCTTAAAGAAAGCATGATTACCTTAGTTTGTTAACGTGGTTTTTGTCTTAAAGAAAGCATGATTTCCTTAGTTTGTTAACGTGACCTTTTTTCTTAAAGAAAACATGATTTCCTTAGTTTGTTAACGTGGTTTTTGTCTTAAAGAAAGCATGATTTTCTTAGTTTGTTAATGTCTATATTAATAAAACTTCTAAACTGGTTACTCTCTTTTGAAGCAACCTTTTTTTTATAATGATTTGATTTTTTAAGATTAATCAAGGTATACATATACATAAGGTTCTTTTATAAAATAACCATGTATGTCAAAATTCCTTTATAATAATGGTCTACGTATGTCGTACATATATATATGTTCCAATGAATTCAGAAGAAAAATTCCAATCTTTACTGATTTATGTAAATTACATACGAAAAACTCTCTGTGTTTACTTTTTCTAAAATATTTTCCTTCCGCACGAAATAAGATCTCGTTTCAATATTTTTTTAATGATTCCGAAGAAACTATTGAATGGTATATATATATATATATAAGGACATCTAGCACTAAGAAAAGGACAACCTAAACACCAGTCACGAAATTCCGACATTTGAGTAACTAGTTTACTTTATATTAATTTACAGTTTGCCCGTGATTGGATAGAATGAATTACACGATCCACACCTCCTCGTACAAGGCGTACATAAAGCACGCGCTTTAGACATGACTTGCAACAAGCAACGCACCTGTAGAATCGGTGTACCTGACAGGTGTGATGGATAGTTCCAGTGGGACAGGTGGTTGATATCCAATAGGAAAACACTCTATCTTTCCTGACTACCATTTAGGGGTGTAGGGTAGGGCTAGCCATAGCATGACATTACACTATTGGGCAATAGGAATAAACCAATGACGAACCTATTGCAATTTGTGTAACCTTTCTAATAAAGACAGAAAATCTGGCGATTGAGATATTTTAAACCAATTTTATTCTTCTGTTGATTATGAAACACAAATTCTGAACAATAACAACGTACAAAGCGCACGGCACAAACACAGGTATAACTTCTTAAGCGTTTCGTTGTACTTGCATATAATAAAAATGTAAAAGAACAATTCTTTTACAGTTTGCCACTTTGTTATATAACGAAACATTCCTTTCGACAGTGTAACTGAATCTGTTGATAGTGTAGTACAAGCCGCTGAACCTTGAAAGATAGCGACAGACAAGATACAGAAGACTAGTTTTAAGGAGCTAGTTATGAATTGTTTTATTCTCACGGGGCTACTCAGCTGAGCTGGTAAGTGTCATTAACAAGAATTTATACCCTGAAGCTCTAAATAAATGTACGAGAGACAAAACAAAGTACAACAGTTGGGCTAAAGGAGCTGAAGCTGACCAACTAAGCTTAGAGAAGAGGCACATATATATATTTTTATATCAAGCAAAAATAGGTTAGTATCTACAGGCAGGGCCAAATTAATGAAATAGCAATGAGTGCAATCCCCCGGGAAGGAGGGGCTAAGAGAAAATATTAAATAAATATGCAACTGTGTCACTATGATAAAAGCAAATTTTTGTCGTTTCATATAAGCCTATTATTATTTAATTTTCTTCATTAATATGGTCTTACAGCTTGTTATTTAATAAATATTTTCTCGGCTATTTAACAATATAATTCGTTGTCACTACTTTGTACTTTTTTTTTATCTTTCTCAACACTTTCTATTTATTACAAATATTATAATTAGTATTTTGTTTATTATCTACCCATCGCTTGAGTTTGTTTATTGTTGAAACTGTAGTTAATAAATGTTACTGAATTATATTTGACTTATTTGTGAAGTTCATTTATAAGAGCCCCCCCCCCCCAAAGTCCTTAATCTAGTCCTGTAAACGGACATCAGAGTTATGCCTATATTTGGCAGTTATTCGTAAAGTAAACTTTTACGTAAAAGCCATGTGCTTTTTTTACGTTTATTGAATGTTATGGAACAATAAAAAAAGAGAAATTCATGTCACTCACGAAATCATTAAGAATATCTCTCTCTCTCTCTATCTTTCTATTTATCCATTATCTTTGCACACGTTAACTTTTCTTTTTTTTTCCACACGGCGATCAATACGCATTAATCGTATTCTCTGTAATTTCGACCTGACTAATTGAAACCTGCACTTCGCTTCAGATTTAAACAATCATTGATTTGACAATGATAAACGAGGCTTCATAGACATTTGTATCGATTGAACAGACTAATTAAATAATGCAGATCTATAACTATTTATCATTCGGGCTATAAAAACTATGTACGAGCTACTTTAGGCTGCTCATGACTCTGAAGGTTATATTAGCTTACAGAGTCTCAACGTACAGCAGGATCCATAATAAAAATATTACATTATTAAAACGATCGCTATGCTTTATCATAATAATGGAGGTGGATGAACGAAATGAGAGAAGACGTACTGGAAAAAAAGAGGGTTAATAAACCTAGACAATATTTTATCCCTATTAACCTTCCTTAGGTAACATATCACTCAATTATGATTTGTTAAAGTGGTGGGAGAAGAGAATTCCCTTCAAAGTGACATATACCTTTAAAAGTAAGTTAACTATGTTCGCCTAAAATGTCAGTATCATATCTTCAAGGTGTGTATTTCAAAAAGGCATCTTTCCCCTTTTTGTGCACAAAAACACCTCTATACATGATTCCGTGCAGAACTGGTGAATAACACTTTTATGTACTATACAGGTTAAGCCATTTCAAGTTTTATTTGTACAATTAATGTAATATGGCTGCCTACCAAAGAAAGCGGTCCTGGAATCGAATGGAATTGCAGCCATGCTCCAACTAGCTCTGTATTCCAAAGAAAGAAGTGGTAAAAAAAAAAGGAAGATAACCTGAGGTTATTGTTGGAGTACAAGCTCCCTATTCACCACACGTGTTATCAGCAAAAAGTATATATAGCATGTAAAGAAACCAACGTGAAAATGGTGTCGATTGGGATGGAGCCGAAAATTATAGTATAAGCTACCTTTCCTGAAGATACACAAACTGAATTGTACTGCAAAAATATCTTATTTCCATTTATATTTTCTTTCACACTTGAAACTAGTAAAATAGTGCTACAAATTTTTTAAGGTGAGCTTTTTACAATGATATTTCTTAATAATAGAAAAGCCCCGGCATGGCCAGGTGGTTAGGGCGCTCGATTCGCGGGTCGCGGGTTTGAATCCTCATCACACCAAACATGCTCGCCCTTTCAGCCGTGGGGACGTTATAATGTGACGGTCAATCCCACTATTCGTTGATAAAAAGAGTAGTCCAAGAGTTGGCGGTGGGTGGTGATGACTAGATGCCTTCACTCTAGTCTTACACTGCTAAATTAGGGACGGCTAGCGCAGATAGCCCTCGTGTAGCTTTGCGCGAAATCCATAACAAACAAACAAACGAACAGAAAGCATTTTAGTTTGTATCGAACTTAATAGATTTTAACTTTTCTTATATTTGAAAAACTTGGTTATGTCAAACACTTTTTATTAGAGGGTTTAATCTCTTTTTTAATTATTTTGTTCAATAAAACATTTTTTAACCGAGATACAATCTTTTTTAAAACTTCAAACGTGCAGGAAATGTTTGTTTGTAGTTAAGCACAAAGCTACATAAAGGGCTATCTGTGCTCTGCCCACCACGGGTATCGAAACCTGGTTAAGCGTTGTAAGTCCGCAGACATGCCGTATGTGTTTCTGTGAAAGCCATTGGATACACCAAAAAAACAGCTTGGACTTTTTTGTTTATAAGTCCAACAAGAGAAGAGAATCGAGTAAAAACATAGCTTTCGTACAAAAATTCTCAAGATTGATAAAATTATATATCGATCATAAATCATGCGTGCATTTAGCAAATCAAATTAAACTTTGCGTTCGTTAATATGAAATCAAGTACAAGTTGAAGAAGCTACGTCTGTCTGGCCCTTTTCTTCTAATCAATCTATTACGTCAAGACTTGTCTATTGCTTGACGTAAGCTTTATTATTTCTTTACCGCTTAAAGTTTCTTTAATAAAAAATCCACAAATATGTTTTTTGTTAAAGTACAGTTGGATATCAACAGTCAAACTTATAAAATTCCAGATGGACACTTGGAAGACTTGAACATTATTAAAAACATACGAAGTAAAGACAGAAGAAAACATGTTACGCTGAATTAAATGCAGAATAGAAAATCGCAAAATAGCATGGAAATAACATGTACAGCGCAAGACGTGTATTTGAGAGCCAATCAACTATATACAACACACCCCCTTCAGTTAAACGACGTTTGAACAACATGTTGAATTCCAGTGATGCTTTATAGTTGCCGAAAGAAATATGTCTTCCTGAAGTCATATTTCATAAAGCAATCACTCAGAGAAATTCCAAGAAAATGATAAATATATTGATGAAACTCCTTACAGTTACAGTTTCCCATATTTATTTATGAACGCCATAGTAATGTGCATAGTAAAAATACCTTCACAAAAGCTTTTAAAGCAAACTTCATGACCTCAAATGTATTTTATAAATAAGTACGTAATTCCTTATGTACATCTATGATTCGGATAACCTACTTTTAGATGCAATAAAACAAGACATTAGTAAAAGCCAACAAATATTCGACTTCACATACTTGTACTTGAAAGACCTGCCATCCTGTATTTCCACTTATTACGCCAACTTCAGTTCCTGTTTTCTCCTCGTAATCTGCTACCGACACAAGCACGAAAAAACAAGACAACGTAGATGGACGCTCATCCCTGGGGTAGAAAGTTTCAGCTTGTGCATCCCCTTCTTATATAAGTCCAATATAAATTTTGCTACTCAATGCGTTAAAAAAAAATCACGGACGGCGCGTGCCCACCACGCGACATGACTTTCGAATCTTCCTCGGTCAAACTCCTTTCAATTCATCCTGTGTCTAACAGTCGCATATATATAGATTCTATAGGTAGCGGAAACACAGAAACGGTTGTAAAACAGGCAGTGGTTGGAGCTAGCAAGGTAGTACGCCAGCATAGACTCACTTCCTACTGAGGTTCTAAGTCAAAGCAAGGGACGCCGCGTAACTCTGAGTTGAGTTGAGTGAAAGCGACACAACATATGCTAAAATCACACATGCGCGACACTCTCATAACGAAAGAAAAAATCGGTCTTTACCTTCTTTTCTTTCTTTTTTTTTATATATAGACGCTAGGAGTAGTGAGGGGTTAGTTATTGTTACTGTACGTGTTACTTCTCTCGATTGGTGACGCCTCCTCGCCAGACACATCAAAAGCAGACGTACATTAGCACGTGCGTTGACGCATCAGTTCACTTTCTCTCGGAGTCTGTTCTTCAAATACAACACCACCCAGGAACCAGGTGCTAGTACCAATAATGTCGTTCGTTTTGTCAAACTTTAGTGTTTTCTGTGAAGCTTTACTTCCACTGCAATGTTGAGATTGGTGTGAAGCGTTTCCTGTTGTTTCTCTATCGAAAATATTCTTTCTGTTAAGCCTATAAATAGATAAGCAAGTATTTCTTCTCTAACACGTTACGATCTCCAATTCACTGGCTCAGCGGCAGGTCTGAAGGCTTATAACGATAAAATCCTGGTTTCGATACCCGTGTTGGGCACTGGATAGACAGCCCATTGTGCAAGCTTTGTGCTTAACAGCAAACGAACAAACACGTTCAAAATAAACACAAGTTTGAAATATCTAAAGAAAAGACACTTTATTTGGAAATACAGAACTTAACAACATCAGTTCATCAAGACTGCAGTGCTTACGTGCAGAGAATACTGACAAACCTTTTACCACGATATTTAGTTTTTATTCATATTATTTATTTATTTAAAAGGTACCAAAGCGTATTTTTAATATCTGTCCGAAGTATACACACAAAACAATCAAAAATGTTTCACGATAAAAGACAAAATCACAAATCAATATTATTTTTTCTTTAAGCTTTATTTTGTCTTATTACGTTTCTATAAGACATTTCTCTTCATTGTTTTGCGCTCCATTTATTCATTCAGCTGTTTTTATCTTTCTCTCAAAGCCCCCCCCCCCTCGTGGCTCAGCGGTAAGGTGAGGGCTTATGACGCTAAAAATCTGGTTTTGATACCCGCGGTGAGAAGAGCGCAAATAACCCATTGTGTAGCTTTGCGCTTAACAATAAACAAACAAAATTTTCTCAAGCATGCGCATAAAACATTCCCATTAGAAATACCTAAGATAACAAGTGGTCTAGCTGAATAGTGCTTCTATTTATAGGTAACAGTGCTCGTTAAATCTTCTTGTATGTGACGAAGAAGTCATATTTTGATTAAACATGTATACTGTAAAAACGCATGCACCTAAAATAAGTTAAGCAATTTATATGACTTAAACGAGCGGTTGCAACATCATCCACGCAAACATGCAATCACGAGCTTTTATGTCATACTGCATGGATCGCCCCCACGTATAGAATTTTGTTTCCGAATTTGAATTTTTATTACTGAAACACGTGTAGATATATGTGTATGCCATCATCGTACCTAAAAAAAAAAAAAAAATGCGCCACAAAGACGTCAAGACCGTTTTCGTTTAATAATAGTTACCTTAGCAGCATAGAAAACATACATCTATAATAGGATCCAAAACTCGCGATACTTTACGTGTTGTTAATACGCCTCACTTAGTCTATGAGCACGTGGCGTGCATGATAACAAACAGTTTGCAACGTTTTCACAATCCGATGTGAAATTGCTAGAGAAATGTATTATATTTCTACTTTATTACAAGAATAAAGTACCAAAATTACCGGCGCTAGAGGGGGTGATAGGGTGGGCCGTGTACCCTCAAATTTGACTTTGGCCCACCCAACTTTATTCTCCCTAACAATTAAAAAATTCGTGTTATCAATTTTAAAAGATCGTATCACTATATGGTGGCCCCACAAAATCTTCCCTGACTCCTCCTCCCCCCCCCCCGAAAAGACGCCAGGGCTTGACGTACCAATAAAACGTCGTTTTTAGTCCTAGTATTTTGTTC